GAGGCACCCCATCCCTGGGCACCCCACTGCTAGGACACCCCAACCTTCTAATCCCCCGGGCATCCCATCCCCTGAGGTACTCCATCACTGAGCAACCTATTCCATCTCCAGTCTCCACCCCAGAGTACCCCAGTCCCCTGGGACACCACCCCTAGGGCACCCCCCAGCCCCCCCGATACCCCATACTCTGTCACCCCATGGCAGTGCCAGGGCAGCCAGCACCCTGCCCCAGGGTGCAGCTGAGGCTCTGATGCCCCCCAGCATGGCAGTGCCAGGGACCCGCACTAGCCCCAGCTCCCTCCTGTCCCCGGCGACCCTAACACCCTGTTCCCACCTGGCAGGTCACTGCGTCCCTGCTGACCAGTAACGTCCCTCCATCCTGAGGCTTGGCAGTTTGGAGGCCATGGACACCCCCATCTATGCGCTGGCCACGGAGCCGCGGTTTGCCCAGCGCCTCAGGGAAGCCTGCAAGGGGGAACAGGAGCCCTGTGGCTGCCTCGGCAGGATGCAGGCACCCCACACCTGTGGGGGGTCTCTTCCCTGCAGTGAGGTGGGCTATGAGGCTGAGGAGGGCCTGATCTTTCCTTGCCCTTGCAGGAAGTATTTGGAAGAGGAGCAGCTTCTGGATGGGCGTTACCGGCTGCAGGAGGTGCTGGGGGGGTGCGGGGCCCTGCCTGTGCTGAAGGAGAAGCTCGACTGGCTGCGGCTGCCCCAGGAGATGCCCTGTAGGCTGGTGCAGATCCAGGTTGGGAGAGACCCCCAGCCCTGGGGGCCCTGCTGTGGGGTGGCGGGATCTCAGCCCCACATGCCACATCCCTCCGCAGGACCCTGTCCCCTCCAGGGCAGCCCGCCGGCAGATGCCTGCCCAGAAGCTGCGGGATGAGCTGCGTCGTCTGCTGGGTGAGAGCTGGTCAGAGGACCTGGAGCGTGACGTGCCCCGCGCCTGGCAGCGGCATGGGGATCTGGTCCTGCTGAGCGAGGATAGCTTTAGGGCTGCACCATGGGAGAAGCTGGGTAAGGGGGAGCGGGGTCTGCCTGCCCAGATCCTGCCTGCAGAGCTGCCCTGGCCTCTCCCAGAGCAGGCGGGTGTGTTGCAGGTTCAGCACTCTGGGAGATGGTTGCCTCTACTCTGGGTGCCCGACGGCTGGCCAGGCGAGGACGGGTATTGCCAGACGGGATGCGGTCCCCCAGTGTCACCCTGCTGCTGGGCCAGGATGGCTGGGTGGAGCACATAGACAATGGGATCAGGTAGGCAGGAGCCCTGGTGCGGGATGCGGCTGATGTGGGGAAGGGACTGCCCTCACTGGGCCGTGGTGTCTCCCAGGTACGCGTTTGATGTGACCAAGTGCATGTTCTCCCCGGGCAACATCACGGAGAAGCTCCGGGTGGCTTCATTGCCCTGCTCTGGGGAGGTCCTGGTGGATCTCTACGCAGGTAACAGGAACAGCGGAGGGGTTTGACAGGGCAGGCTTGTGGAGGCAGGCAGGCAGAGAGCAGTGATGCAGGCACCAATGGTACCCAGGTGGATATGAAACATCATTTCCAGCCTCAACTGGAAAAATACCCAGGCTTAGAGCTCCTGCCCCATCTGTGACCCCTCAGCCAACCTGGCACTGCTGCCTTCCTGTGTCCCTGTTGCCTTTGGACTCTTAGGATGACTTTGCGCTCAGGCTCTGCAGAGCACTGTTCTGTCCCTAGTGCTGGTCATGGTAATGATTTGGATCCAGGGGAAAGATGTGCCCTCAATATTTTTTTTAAAAGCTCCCATAGATGTCCTGAGTCTGTATGGATGTACTTTCATGACAAGCTGGTGTTAACTGAAGTGTCCTGTCCTGTGAGATGACTGGGGAGATCGCATCAGGCATTTGCATGTCAAGAGAGCAGCTGTTTTGTGCTTGGGGAAGTGACTGCTTCCAGTTTGGGCCACGCAGAAAGGATGCGGCACTCACAAAACTGCTCTGAATTAATTAAAATAAATGATAGTATGGGCACTTCTGCACAGAGTGGAAGCATATCAAGGCAAGTCTTGAGCTAATGGCCAAAGACTGAAGCTAAAGTAAGCTCCTCTGTAAACATTTTTCAAGACAAATTTTGTTTTTCCAGAGGAGGAAGGGATGAATTGCCTTTTTCCCTGCTCAGTGTCTGAGCTTGTTTCAACCCGGAGCAAAGCAGATTCAGAGAGCTGAGATGGCAATCTGCATCCTGCCCTCTGGAGAGAAACATGGACCCCAGTGGTGCCCAGAGCCTGCTCTCAGCCGCTGCCACCTCTTCTGTCCCCAGGCATTGGCTATTTCACACTGCCATTCCTGGTTCATGCGGCGGCTGCCTTCGCCCATGCCTGTGAGTGGAATGACCACGCCGTGGAGGCCCTGCGGAGGAACCTGGTGCTGAACGGTGTGCAGGACCGCTGCTGCATCCACCATGGGGCCAGTCGGAGTCGGCAGGTGAGTGGTGCCGTCTGGCTGCAGCTCCCCCAGCCCCTCATGGCATCTCCCTCACCTCCCCTCTCCTTCCAGCTGGAGCTGCAGGACATAGCAGACCGGGTGAACCTGGGGCTGATTCCCAGCTCGGAGGAAGGCTGGCCAGTGGCTTGCCGCGTCCTGAAGAAAGGCACGGGTGGTGTTCTTCACATCCACCACAACGTGGAGACTTTTCCCACACCAGTCCCCCCACAGCCCCCACAGACCCCACTCCTGCAGGGTGAGTGGAGGTCTCCAGAGGGAGCTAGCTCTGATGGGGAGGCACAGCACCGAGTGGAGGACGGCAGGAAGGAGACACTGGAGGCCAGGATCAGACCTGAGTGGCAGAGGTGGGCTGAAGCCACAGCAGCAAGGATCCAGGGACTGCTGGCAGAACTGCATGGGCAGCCGTGGCGCACCAGTATCCTGCACATTGAGGCAGTGAAGTCCTACGCACCCCACGTGCATCACCTTGTGCTGGACCTCAAGTGCCGGCCGATGCTGCCCACCTAGCTTGCCACAGGCCCCAGCGTGGCTCCGGCTCCCACAGAGCAGTGTATTGGAATACCAGTGGCAGGGAGATGCTACTGTTGTCTGCTGCCAGCCTGGTTGTGCTTTACTTGTTCCCAGATGGCAGTGCTGCCCAGCAGCACCTCTCTGTGCCAAGGGCACTGAGGGATGCTTGCCAGCTGGAGACACCTCTAAAAGCCATAACCCAGCAGAGAATGGGGAGAGCTGAGACTGAAAGCACCCTGAGTCCTGCACCTGCTCTGCCTGTTGCTGCCCATATCTTGAAGATGTGGTGGCACTTTCAACCCTGCTTTCACACACAAGAGTCACAGAGTAAAATAAACCTCAGATTCCTGACAGGCTTCATTTCAGTGTGTCAGGCAGGCTCTGTGCTTCTATTTACCAGCATGTTTTTTTATTGTACTGGAAACAGGTCTGTTCATCTCGTTTTCTTCTTGCCTTTTTGAAGAATTAAGGGTGTTTACCACTTCTCTGGTTGGATGCGAACACTGGTGCAAATGTGAGGCTCTGGCCTGTGGAGGCCAGCTCCCAGGGCAGCATGTGGAGGGGCTCAGGGAGCAGCAATGCCTCTGTCTGCACCCTCTGCCCTCAGTTCTGCCTGCAAGCCCAAATTAATGCCTAAGCATCGTGTGTGTACCCCTGCTGCAGAGAAACCCCTGCCCGGGGAGGGCGGGGGGCCCTTTCGTGTCCCCGTGGGTTCTCCCTTGTATAGGTGTCCCATCTCGGGCCACAGGGCTGGGAGTCTTTGCCTCTCCCCTGTCCTGTGGCAGGGGGGCAGAGTCGAAAGTGTGGGGCTGCTCCCAGCTGGCCTCCCGTGCAGCCCCACTGTCCTGTGTGGCGATAAGCCACCTCCCCATGGATGCGAACCCAACACCTTGTCCTGCCACACGTGCTCATGATTTCCCTGTTGTCTGTGCTGCTGTGGGCAGAGCTCGGGGAGCCGAGCCAGGACCACATCTCTGCCCACAGAAGACAAGGGTGAAGAAGTGTGGGGCTGCTCCCAGCTGGCCTCCCGTGCAGCCCCACTGTCCTGTGTGGCGATAAGCCACCTCCCCATGGATGCGAACCCAACACCTTGTCCTGCCACACGTGCTCATGATTTCCCTGTTGTCTGTGCTGCTGTGGGCAGAGCTCGGGGAGCCGAGCCAGGACCACATCTCTGCCCACAGAAGACAAGGGTGAAGGCTGCAGCCTTGCGGCAGGGCCATCCTCTGCTGCTTGCAGAGCTGTGAGGACAACCGCGGCC